GAGAGAGAGAGAGAGAGAGAGAGAGAGAGAGAGAGAGAGAGAGAGAGAGAGAGAGAGACGGACCTAAGGGAAGGGAGAGAAAGGTTTGGAGAGCCTGCAACCCCGGCTCCTCCATCTAATGCTGTCAAGAAAAAGCATACATTTGCTGTCTACATTTCAGGACCAAAAATTCACTGGTCGACGGGTCGGGGTCGGGGGGCCCTCAAGGGGGCTCAGGGGCTGCATGTAATACAGTCAAAAACCACCTTTCCTACATTCCCATGTTAGAGCGAAAAGGTAGCAGGGGCCAGGTGTAGCCCTCCCCCACCCTCCAGCTTTCTGTGCAATGAGGTCAAAGCATAACATAATTAACATTCCTTGTCGGCCATCATGTTAAAGGCAAGGAGTGACAGACCCCTACTGATCAGGGTAAGGGGGCGAGTGGGGTGCGGAGGGGGATGCTGGGATCCCCTCCCCCGAGGGGTTTCCCAGCTGCATGTGCGAATGGCAAGAAATAAAATACCTTTCCTGTCCTCACCTCGCAGCCAAAATGTCAGCGGCTTACTGATTGGGGGGCTGCTGGTACACAGGGGGAGCAGGGGAAGTGCACTTCGACAAATCTTCTGCAGTGTCTTGATTGCTTTTACAGGTTCAAGACTTCAAGTTCAGTTCTGTGAATAGTTTTCCTTTGAATATCCCGAATACGGCGAATAGTGCATAACAATTGTTTTTGGAACTTTTTCTAGTAATTGATTGTAATTCTATTTTTAGTAATTGATTGTAATTCTATTTTTAATAATTTTTACTATTTTTTTTAGTAATTTTCTTACAGTTTTCGGAACTTTTTCCAACTTTTTTTATTTTTTCACGCATGTTTCTTTTTGTCGTACAGACACAAAACACATATCCCAGAAAAAGGTTTTCCCGGATATTTGCTGGGTATGGAAGGCGAACTTTGGTCAAAGTACATCAAATTATTTTCTTCTTCTTTTTCATTGCTGTGGGGGTATTGCCGGCACCACTCGCATGGCGGGTGCTAAGTTAGTAATATATGATATAACACTTCCTTGAAATGAAGACCTGGTCTCTCGTGGCAGCAGGTGGTTTTCGGACACTGGTTGTGGGTTCAAATCGTACTTGTGGCACATCACACCATTGCACCATGAAGTGCGGTGGATGACCCCTCTGTGCACAGATTGGGGGGAGGGGGGAGAAGGGGGAAGAATTGTGTGTGTTTGTGGAAAAAAAATAAAAATCTAGAATGACACATACCGATCAAGAAATGGTCCGTAGGCTAGGCTACCAGAGTGCCCCCCGGGACCAGTTGCGTGGTCGGGTAAAAAAAAATTAGAAAAATAAAAAATAGTTCTTTGATTTTAATTTAAAATTTTATCTTGAATTTGGCAATTTGGTAAAGATTTCCCCCCCCCCCTTATTAGGGCCCGGTGCGCAGGGGAAAGCTTGGCGCCCGCCACCTAGAGATATGCTGTTGGCTCCCGCGAGTGGCATTGAGCAGCGACTGCTGATGCTCATAGGGGGAGGGGACTGGAGGGGAGGCACAGTGACTGGCCCATCGAAGAAGCTCAGTCCTGATGCTACCGGCTGACCCCTGGCCGGCATCGCCCGCCTGCTGTAGCAGGTATCGCACCTGCTGGTGGGTACAGCTCCCGCATGTTCCCTCGTTGGAGGCTTGAGCACGGATGTGGCTGCTACGGGGTTCCCCGTAATAATATAATGACAATACAAAAGGCCTGAAAGGCCGTCCTGTCTAGATTCGACAGGTAATTAAATTGGTTGGGCTTAAAGAATTAGCCTTAAAAAAATAAAAAAATACAATATCGCGGAGCTCCAGATCCAGGGGTCGCAAGGCGTCCAATCCCTAATCCCTCTTCATGGGGTGGAGCCCCTCCGATGTGACCCTGTGCCAAAAGTTGTTCAGTTTATTTTTCGGCATACAAATTTTTTTATTTTTTTTTTCGTTTTTTTTTTTTGATGGGACCTTCCCTGGTCCTTGCACGGTCGGGCCGCTGGGGAAAACAGGGTGACTCAGGCAGCCTGGCTGGTAGCCTAGTCCGTAGGTGAAAATAAAAAATAAAAAAATCAACAACAAGGAAATGACCAGCACCTGTGCTGTGTGTGGGAGAGTGTTGGCCTTAGACACTGCTGCTACTCGATGGGGGATGGGGGACGATGAAAGGGAGGTACAGCTACGGGCAAAATTAGGCGGACCACCATAGGCAAGGAGAGAGGCAGCAGTACAATTGAAGGGCACTCCAACCCATGGAAAAAGGGCGAAGGAAAACAAGTTTGATGAGGCAAGCAAAGATTCCTTACAGCTGGCGGAGGATCAAACAGGTCTGGATAGAACATAAGGGTCGGGGAGAGAAGATGGAGGAAAATCAAGCTATCACGGTCGGGGATGAGGAACAACAAAAGAAGGAGAGACTGAGGGTCAGCAAGGTATGGCTGACAAGCGGGAAAGTTGCTGGTTCACGAGACGACCGCATCTGCTGGAAGAACTGGTACAACTCAAACTCAGGAAGAAACTTTCGGCTGCAAATAGCTATGCATGAGCAAGGCACCTATCGATCAGACTCCCGAAGTGAAAGCTACGGACCTAAACTACCACATCCATGGAGGAACAGACTGGAGACGACAGTATGACTCTGAAAGGCGAGAGCGAGGAGGGAAAGGTTGACTCAGAGGATGTTGGAGCAAAGATACAAGGAATACAGGATCCCACATCACTCAAAGGGAACAGAGTCTCAAATCCCAGCCCAGAAGGGGCAACAAGGTCTTCAGGTTGAGGGTTTAGGGTCTAGGGTTTTTAGCAGCAAAGTGCAAGCTTAAGGCGATAGGGGAAAACACGACTCACGGGCAGGATAGATGAGTGGGGAATCCACAGGTATGCAGAAAAATGGGCGAGCTCTTTCTAGGTGACATAGATTTTTTTTTTTTTTGGCAGAACTGGTTTTCAGGTCTGAGAGGAAAGAGTGAGTCAAGGCAAGCTGACAGTCAATCCTCCGCCAATGGTGGAGCAATCAATGCTGTTCAGGGGTCCTTCGGCCAAACGGAAGGAAGCGTGCGTTCCCGCAAAAATGTAATGTGTATTCTGACTTGCCAGTGGAATAGGAACCGGACTGTCGCTCCCCGGAATAGACGGAGCCAGGTCTAAAGGCCCTGTTTAAAAAAAATAATAATAATAATAAATAATAAATAAATATATTAGGCGGACCACCACTGGCCGCCCCAACTCTGCACCCAAGGGGCAACATGCAGTATGCCCTTCACTGTGAGAGGTAGCTATGCTTGCGGGGGTACCCTCTATATAGCCTGTAAATAGGTAGGCAGTGAAAGACGAAAAGAATTTGAGAGAAGAATATAGTGTAGTTAAAAAACTGAAATAAAAACCTCCTTAGGCCTGGGAAAAAAAGCCTCCTTACACCTTGAAAACGGTTTGGCCACAATAACGGCAGGATCCAGGACGTTTCCAAGGCGTGTCAGGGGGTCCATGACCATTCTCTCTCTCTCTCTCTCTCTCTCTCACACACACACACACACACACACACACACACACACACACACACACACACACACACACACACACACAC